TAAGGGTTAAATAATTTTGTAGAGATCTCTAAAAACATGTAGGTTACGTGCACCACAACATCTATCAGACTAAATAGATATTTATCTGGAATTTTTATGTTACATTTGCACTCAGGCCGGGATAGAACAAGGATGGTTGTGCTTGATGGGGACTACGAAGGAGATGAGCTCTTCATCGGACGGGTATTTAAGAACAGAGACGACTGCAGGGTGAAGATAGCAATCCATGCGATAAATCGAAGGTTTAGCTTCCGTAATGATAGGACCACCAATGACGTGGTCATAGTCCGGTGTGTGTCTGACGCGTGTCGCTGGAGAGTTTACGTGGTCCGCCTGGACGACACAGACTATTTCCAAATCTGAACGGCTGAACTAGAACATACATGCCCAATTGAGGCAAGAAACATGTTTCAAAGGCAAGCCACCACTTCAGTCATATCCGAAATAATGAGATCAAGATACAGTGGTGTTGGGGTTGGTCCAAGCCCCATTGCACTCCGCCAGGCCTTGCGAGACGAGCATAGTGTGAATGTCTCATATTGGAAGGCGTGGAGGGCGAGGGAGCTAGCAATGGATATGGCGAAGGGTTCGGCAGCAGGGAGTTTCCGTCTACTTCCCACATACTTCCACATGCTAGAGCAAGCAAACACGGGGACTATAACGGAGCTACAGACAGAGGTTGATGTCAACGGGGATGAGAGGTTTAAGTATTGCTTTGTGGCGCTTGGGGCCAGTGTGAAGGGGTGGAGGTTCATGAGAAATGTACTGATAATAGATGGGGCTCATTTGCGAGGTCGTTATGCGGGCTGCCTTCTTACGGCTAGTGCGCAAGACGGTAACTTCCAAATTTTTCCCATCGCGTTCGCAATCGTGGACAGTGAAAATGACAAGGCGTGGGAATGGTTCTTTAGCTGCCTAAAAAAATTCATTCCGGACGATGAAACCCTGACTTTTGTCTCTGACCGCCACTCATCAATTCATAGCGGCATCGACAAGGTATGTCTACTTAATGAAATAACGCCCCAAGAAAATACTTATATCCTTATTTGCGTATGTACTTGACTATGTTTAATATCAGTAGTTACAATAATAAATAAAAATGTCTAATTTCAAAAACATCTACAGGTGTATCCCGCGGCCTCTCATGGTGCTTGTATCGTACATCTGCAAAGAAACGTAGCGGCGAAGTTTAAGATACGCGTCCTAGCAGCCCTGATCTCAAAGGCAGCTAGAGCTTTCCGGAAAACTACATTCCACGAATACTTTGCAGAAATAGAGCGTGTATCTCCTGAATGCGCTGAGTACTTGATGTCAATTGGATTGCACCAGTGGACAAGGTCGCACTGCGATGGCGATCGGTACAACATAATGACCTCCAACGTCGCGGAGTCACTCAATGCCGTGCTAAAGGAGGCCAGAGAGATGCCTCTTGTGTCAATTCTCGAGTACATCAGAGGTACACTTACATCATGGTTTACAAAGAGGCGGGATAAGGCAATGCGTCATGATAGTGCCCTAACGCCGAAAGTGGAGGAGATTGTTAACAAAAGTTACGTGAGATCAACAGCGTATGAAGTGCTACAAATCAGCAAGGATGTCTATGAAGTGAAAACTCCAACATGGTTATCTTATATTGTGGACCTCCAAAATAAATCTTGCACATGTGAAGAGTTCACTCTGCTCAAAATACCTTGCAGCCACGCTATAGCAGCTGCTGGACAGACAGACATCAAAGTTGAGGAGCTGGCTGCTCCCCACTACGGTACGTTTTTCTGGAGCTTAGCCTACAATGGCAGCATATATTCGGTGCCCGACATGAGCACTCTCCGCGACATACCAAATACAATTGCGACAAGGACAGTTCACCCTCCCCTGACCAAAAGGCCACCAGGTAGGCCAAAGCGTTCTAGATACCTATCAAGTGGAGAGTTTAAGGTAGTTAGTTGGTAATAAGACGTATTATAGCAATGTATAAATTATGATACAGCGCTACAATTGACAGTTGTTGTGAATTAATATGCAGCTGACGAGGAAGAAGGCGAAACGGAGCTGTACCCGTTGTCGTGGGCCTGGGCATAACCGGGCCTGGGCATAACCGGGCGACTTGCAAGATGACAATCTAAGGGTTCAAGAGGCCTATGTAAGGTAAACCATCCTAAGTTAACAAACATACTATTTGAATACTAATTAATCAAATAGCGAATAATAACCAAATATAAACGCTTATGCAGATATATGGAGCTGCATATTTTCAATGTGTAAAGCAGCTAGACGGATGTTTGCTTGAAGTATCGGGGTTTATGAGTCGGAAGCTTTTGTGTTTTGTTTGTAAGATAGTGAAGTAGATCCCCTCCGTTTAAGTTGTATTAGTATGGGTGCGAACATGCCTTCCACCATTGTCTTCAAATTATGTTGAACTTCTCCTAACAAGGTGTAATGCGTCGATCGTTTGAGTCCGCACGCCTTGTAATGTAATATATTTATGAATTCAGTTATGATTCTCGTTTAAAAACCGACTTCATATATAACCTACCTACGGCAAACATAAATATAACTGGAGACCTTAAGTAATAGCAACGACGGCCTATATTTGATATCAGTGACAATCCACCCAATAAAATACCATTATACAAAATCGCATACAATTATATATATATAATTGGAGGGCTATCCCAGTGGAAAGCAAACCTAATTTCGGAAATTAGGTTCGACAGACAACAACTAATCCCCACTGTGTGGGCCACATAAAGTCGAGGAGCCGCCATAAATACTAGCTACCCAACCAAGCCCCCAACCAAAAATACACAATCTAACCTAGATCTAGAAAAAATGATTAGCGAAACTTCTGGAAATTCTTCGAGCTCTACGAGAATGACACAGACCACCATGCCGCCGGACCAAGGGTTTCTCTGCGACTGCGGTAAACCAGCAACGATCCGGCAAGCGTGGACCGATGCAAACCCAGGGAGACGTTTCTACGGCTGCGGCGCCGCGTGGAGAAGCGTTTGCGACTTCTTCCAGTGGCGCGACCTCGAAAAACCACACGGCTGGCAGAAAACAGCTTTACTGGAGGCGCGAGATGTGATAAGAGCGCAGAAGGAAACGATAAAACTTCTTCAAGAAGCCGCAAAAGAGGAACCGAAAACCGAGGCAGACATTGCAAAAGAAGAGGGAGAAAGCTCGATAGAGAAGTTGGAGAAGGAAAACATAATCCTTAGGAGTGAACTTCAGGTAAGCCACCAAGCCGAACAAACGCTCCGCCACTTTGTTCTAATATCGTGGGTTGGGTTTATTTGTGTAGTGGCGACGGTCGTCCATGGATTAAGGTAAGCCGAACAACAAACCCCGACATAAAGGCGGGGCAGATTGATGTACTTATGTCTATAGCTAGCTAAATTACTAAGTAGAGTTCTATTTCGCTGTATCTCCATCAAGTACAAGTATCGATGTATTTTAATCTGTAGGTAGCAAACCTATTGTGCATTGGTCTGTTTCTTCGTATCTACTTCAAGAACCATCGCTAATATAAATTAATTATCTGGCATATTTTGTAAAAAAATGTTCTAATTTTAGTGTAATGTATAAGATATCATGTGCAAATGGTTTTATAAATGCTACACATAAAGCCGAACTTGTCTATGTTGCGTAAAAAAGTAGAAGTGAAAACACATAATAGCATTTGACCAAAAAAAAAAAAAAACACATACCAGCATAAGTGCCCGAAAACAGAAAAAACCTCTAAAAGATAGTCACGCGAATAGAGGGCAACCAAAAAAATAGACAGTTATATAATCTAAAATATATGCCTACAAAAAAAATTGCATGTATACAAGCAAACATAGATGGATAATAACATACATAATGCTTTAAGATTGACAAATTAAATGGAAGCAATTATATAGTAATTAATATATAGCTTAGGGGGTAAAGAGTACATGGATAGCATCCGCAACATTGAAAACTAATTAGCAGCAAAACCAAAAAACATCGCGAATAAGGGAAATGTCCAAAAACACACAGCGTTGATAGAGAACATAGTTGAAGATAAAAAGCAAAAAAACAGACAGAAGAGTCGTCTACTTATTCAACAACGAGCTCACCGCAGCAGTGCTCATAAAGCTCAACCGCCAAGCTTTCAGCCCGCGAACGGATAGCAGACTCGTTGACCTTGTACACCTTCTCCAACCCACCGAAGGCATGAGCCTCCATAAACAGAAGAGATAAGATCCCAGTATTGGAACGAACAGAAGCTTGGACAACAGAGGTATCGCGGTGGAATGCCAACGGCTCCAATGAAAAAGATGACATCATGTCATTGAGACCAACTTTACGCACAAAGTAGGGAAACATCTCGCAGACGAAATCGAGCTGGGGTTTCAATCGGGAGCCACGGCAAGCATCAGCATTGGGATCAAAGACTGTGAGCACATGATTACGCAAGTTGACCATGACAGCAATCCATCGATTCTTATCGATATTAAACAGGAAGTACAAGAAATCAATGTCAATGATCCACTCCCGACCATTAAGCTTAGACCTGTCAATGACCGCTGCCAGAACTTCAGGGTCAAAATCAAACAATTCTTTCCGAGAAGTCTTCTTAAACTTTGCATAGAGAACAGCAAAGGAGCCAGGGAAGTTAGACCGCATAAACTCGGCTCTAGGATCAGAGGCAGGATCAACATTGTTGAAGAGAGAGTCTCTCAGGACAAGAACACAAGAATCCATGACCTACATGTAGGGCAAATAAGTAATAAAGTATGAAAATAATAAGGGAAGGAGAAACAGACATTGGTGCAGACCTGGGGAGAGTCTGGTGGAATAATGATGGGTATGTTAAGAACATCTTTGTCTTTAAGGACTAAACCCTCGCCAACCGATAATTCCCTACACAACAAAATATATGAAATCATAACCATTAACAAATGAACATACATCCCCATATGCAGAGTTGAATGTTGAATTAGAATAATAGATACCCAAAAAAGTGAACATTTAAAACCAAGGAAAGGCATACTTACAAAGTCGGAACCATATGCGTGATTAGGAGTTTGAACTTATCAGAAGAAGGGTCAACCTCAGTAGCAGAATCGGGGAGTTGTTCAGAGAATTGCACAACAGTATCACCTCCGGATGACTACAAATATAATAGTTACAAATCTATGAAATTTGGACTAAATATAAAGAACATTATAAGGGAAAGAAAACAAACCTTCTCCCCGCTTGCAGCCGCAGAGGAGCTGCCAGTTTCACCTTGGACAGTTGGAGTAGTATCCTTGAAAAATAGAAAGGATTAAGAAAAGAATGACAAGGAAGCAATGGTGTAATTAAATAGCTTTAGGCAACATCCAGCTAACCTTTGGAGATGAGAGTTTAGCGGGTGCGTAAGGGTCAGAAAGCAGAGGATCAGGTTGAACCGGGTCCTGGTTTAGGTGGGAAACAGGACGGCCTCCTCCAGACCCAAGAGCGTCTACTACAGTGTTGACAGTGTCTTTGGCAGCTAAGTATTCAGCGACAACAGAGAAAATGTTTTGTTTGAAACTTTGCTGGAGGCGCAACTCCATCTCTTTGATATCAATACAGAGGTTTGCGTAAACAGCGGATTGAGATTCTTTCAGACCAGCCCGAATTTGGGAAGATACAGCAGCAAGCAACTTAGAATTTGGGTCGACACTATCAAACTTGGCACGCTGGGACCGCATCTTCAGTTTCTTAGATGAAGAAGCCTCACCATTTGACATCTCTTTAGGCAACAACTTGGCATTACATTTGCGTTTCCCTTTCTTGACAACACGAGAAGGAGGCTGCGCAGGAGCAGCGAGACCTCTAAAACCACCTACAAACATGTCACGCTTAAACACAACCCCTTCCTCCAACTGGTGAAGCAGGAATTCAACACTGGGATCGCCAACTTCATCCGGCCAACTGCAATCCGCAAGACCCTCATCAACAACATCACCTTCCTCATTGGCAGGAATAATTGGAAGAACTTGGACCTAAGGGAAATTAGATGAAAAACAAGGTAAGATTAGATATAAATATGACTATATGGAGGGCTATAGTATCAATTAAAGGTGTTAAGATATAAATAGATGTGAACAGACCTCCCCTTGAGCATCTAAATCCCAGACCTTATCCAGCTTCAACGAAATAACAGGAAACACTTCTTCACCACCAGACTCAGGATCCGTCGCATCGCCAACAGCATCTAGGACATCTGGAACAGCCTCGACAAAAACAAGCTGTAGAGCATGGATAAAACCTTGGATAGCGACTGTTGCCTGCGCCAATTGATTAACCGCCCTGGACTTGATGCATTACATCGTCATGTCAAAGCTGTATCGACCCCAGGGATAGTTCAAAAAAACATCAAGGCTGCGAATCATCTCAACATGTTCTTTAGGAATTTTCATGTTAAACGACCGGCGGCATAAAAGACCATCAACGAGCAGAAGACATGCGTACTTAACCCTTAACTCACTGGTCAGCGCCCGCGGCCTCCGAAGCTTCGCCTGTAACATCTCCGCGGTGACAAACTCTTCGCCTCCAAATAGCGTGAACCAGTAAGGCGTAACACCAGGCGGACACTTGACCAGAGACTGATCAATCGGCGGCAGAGGCCTACAGTTTAGACCGGTTACAATTCCGAACTCCCTCAGGGAAAACCTAAACGGTTTCCCAGCGAAAACAACCCAGATCTCGTGCCGCTTGACCACATCCAACTGCCGCGTAAGCAGAAAATGAGTCAGTTTGCCAGAAAAGACGGGTTTAGCGTACATCTCAAGCAGTTTCCCAAAAAACGGACGGATTTGGTCAAGTTCTTCAGGCTGAAGAGCCCTCAGAACAACCCGAATGGTATTAAGCTTGAAATACTGATTGACCCTATCACCAGCAGGTTCTTCCAAATCAGCGAATATACGAGATGGTAGGCCACGGTTTTCCATATCTAACAAGCAAAAAAGATAGGGTTAGATATATGTTTGAAAATGGAAACAAATCTATATCAAAAAGATCCAGCCGTAAGTTGTTTTGTAGAGTGCGAATTGAAAAAAGGATGTCTAATAATAAATGTAGATCTGGAAGAGAAACCCAAAACCAAAACCAAAACCCAAAGAGATATGCATGCGAGAACGGAAAATTTAGTGACAATAATTAACAAGAGAAAACCGAAAGAAAGAGGGCGAGTCGAAAACAAAAAATTTAGAAACAATTTCGGTAAAGAAAAGCAATTCTGATCTACCACCGACCGGACGAGACTGAGGACGGATGCGAGGACTTCCGATTAAAGCAAAGAATCCGACTAAAACTATTTCAACTGATGTGCGAAATTGAGAGCTACAGAGGATTTAGAAAAAGAAGAGTGGAGAATAAAGAAGAAGGTTTATCGGTGCAATGAATAGTATTGCCCAGACAGATGACAGTAGAAATAGGGTTAGGGTGCGAGAAGGTGGGATATCGAAGGGTTGGACAGATGGACACCCAAACGTCCCGTCTCAAAAATAATAAAGTAACAAAAACATAATGCAATGTTTGAAAATAACACGCTATTCGACTGGGAATTTACGCAGCATTAATTCGTCTGACATAAATGAAGACTCATTTCCGAAGGCGCGTGGGGGTAAAGTCGGAGAGTTTGGTGGCAAAATATATATGTTGTTTGGGCCTTTAAACGATTAGCGAGAAATTTAATTTGGGCTTAGAATTCTATTTTACACCTAAGTAAAAAACAAATGATTATTCATATTGGGAAATTAAGGTGAGAGAATGATTAGTGTTTGAGAATTAACTTGAATATATATAAGATTTGATAATAAAATAAATTTTTATGTTATTTATGTGACATTTTTTTAGTCATCTGCAGTAAAAAATGCTTATATGAAGAAATTTTTTAAATTTTAATAATTTCGAATAGTCCAGAACGGTATAAAAGAATTTTTGTAATTAGTTTTAAACAATAGCAAATGTGACGTTTGAATAGTAGACTTAAAATAAAAGGTTGAAAGAGTTGAATGACCATTCATCTTATTTTTATTATTTGAGATGAATAAGTTGGAAAATTGATTCAACCCATTCAACCCCAAAAGTTAGAAAAATGAATAGATTATGATGGAAAATTGTTTAACCCTTTCAACTACTATTTCGCAGAGGAATGAGTTGAATGATGTTCAACTTTTTTTGTTCAACTCAAAATTTTCTAACCATTCATCTATATGTCATCCATTTGCAGCTGTAGTATTTGTGTAAACTTATAGGAGAACCGATCAAGTTCTAAACCTAAATTGTGTAAAGAAAAAAAGTTAAAAGTTAATAAAACTAAAAAGAAAAAGCGGTAAAAAAGAAAAAATTAAATAAGGGAAAAATCTATACTAGTATAATCGCAACACTTTTTGTGACGGGTGGGTAAAAAAGCTTTCGGGTATATCGGATATCCGATCCATTTTAAAAATTCCTTCACAAAAAATTTGTTGGGTCGGGTTATATTTAACCCAACTCATACACCGGATATTCCATATTTAATAATTTAGATTTTTAGAAGATTTGATTAAGATTTATAATTATGATTCTCCTATCATCTTTGTTTGATTTGTTTTTAACTGTTTTGAATCATCATATAATACATAAAGTAAAAAAAAAATCAATTTTTTTCTGCATATACTGTGATTCAAAATTTTAAAAACGGACATATATTATCCAATTGACGAAAATGTGTGTTCAACGTTCTACATCGATTAAAATATTTAGACAATGATTCAGAATCATATCATAAATAAGAACATTAATAAAATAAATGAGTTTTTTGGCGGGACGGGTTTGGCGGGACGGGTTTTTGAATCAACAATAATAAAAAGATTAAAATATCATTAATCCGCCGCTTCAATACGGATTTAATCCTTATTTTTTTTAATACAAATCACAGGACGGGTTAAGAAATTACGGAACGGGTTATATTTCGGAAATGATTTATATGGCGGACGAATTTGAATCAATATTTATATACCGCTTTAATACGGGTTAAATCCTCAGTTTATTAATAATTATCTCGTGGACTCGTGGTATATCGTTACTTAATAACAATTGTAAACTATAATATAAATAAATATGTTATAAGGAAATACAATTTACAAAATATTTTTATACTAACTTTAAAATTAAATACACCGTAGGTTTAAAATCTAGTATCTGTATATAATAACAGCAAGGTTTTGGTCCGCATATATAAATAATCTTTATACCTCTCAGTCTTATTTGCTTCTTCCTTATCTCCGCCTCTTTCTAGGGTTTCTCTCAAATCCACAAAGCTCTTCGACCATGGCGGACGAATCTCAATACTCATCTGACACTTACTCCAACAAACGCAAATACGAAGAACAAACCGCTCCTCCTCCATCAACTCGCAGACCCACCGGTTTCTCTTCAGGTCCGATCCCATCTGCTTCACCTGATCTCACCGCATCCGCCGTTCCTCCACCGTCTTCTTACAACAGCGTTCCTCCTCCGATGGATGAAATCCAGATTGCTAAACAAAAAGCACAAGAAATCGCTGCTCGTCTTCTTAATAGTGCTGATGCTAAACGTCCTCGTGTTGAGAATGGTGCTTCTTATGATTATGGTGATAATAAAGGATTTAGCTCATATCCTTCTGGTTCGTTCTCGAAATCTCTTAAACTTGTTGTGTTTATGGAATTTAGGGTTTGGAATTAAACTTGTGATTTGATCTTTGATTTAGAGGGTAAGCAGATGTCAGGGACGCCTCCGTCTTCGATACCGGTTTCGTATGGTAGCTTTCAAGGAACTACTAAGAAGATTGATATTCCGAATATGAGAGTTGGTGTTATCATTGGTAAAGGTGGAGAGACTATTAAGTATCTTCAACTTCAGTCTGGAGCTAAGATTCAGGTTACTAGAGATATGGATGCAGACCCTAATGCTACTACGAGGACTGTTGACCTAACTGGCACGCCTGACCAGATTTCCAAAGCTGAGCAGTTGATCACTGACGTCCTTCAAGAGGTAGTACTTACTCTTTTGGTGCTAATCATAGTGTTTTTTAGGTGATAAAACTAGATTACTAATGCTGTATCTAATTATTTTGGTTCAGGCTGAGGCAGGTAATACAGCTGGTTCTGGTGGAGGTGGTCGTAGGATGGGTGGACAAGCAGGAGCTGATCAGTTTGTTATGAAAATTCCAAATAATAAGGTACTTAATGCTCTGGAGATTGACCAATTTCTGTAACATGTATCTTGTATGTAATACATAAACTGTTCTAGGTTGGTCTGATTATTGGTAAAGGAGGTGAGACAATCAAATCTATGCAAGCTAAGACTGGAGCTCGAATTCAGGTTTGTATTTTTGTCAATTGTTCAGCTTCTGTTTGTCTCCAGCTAGTGAAATCTTATTCATCCCGTGGTTATTTGTCTGCAGGTTATTCCTTTGCATTTGCCCCCTGGAGACCCAACGCCAGAACGAACTTTGCAGATTGATGGGATAACCGAGCAGATTGAACATGCTAAACAATTAGTTAATGAAATCATCAGTGGCGAGGTATGTTTGATTGTTGTGTTTGTTTATGGATTGTGGCAGGCTTCTGCAGTGTCTATTTTTCTACCTGAAATTGATATTGTGTTGTGATTACATTATTTAGTTGTCATTAGCTTTAGGTTTATCTAGTGTTTCCCTTAAAATGTAGACGACATACTGTATTATTCAGATCATAGGTGATGTAGGTTATACTAGTTTCACTTAGTCAATGTATCAGCTGCTAAACTTATACTCTGCGTATGCCTTCGTTTCCTTTGGTATTTGCTCCACGATAACTGCATCTACAATGGAATGCATTGTTCTTCTCTCCGCTTATTTGCAGGGGAAGGTTTTTTATTTTATGTTAAACCATGTGAAGATATTTTTGTGATTTTCTTAACATAGAAATATATTCTATCTTGATATACCTTACATTGTTATTGAAGTTGTAAGATTATATGTTGCTTCTTCTTCTTCTGCTCATACTCATTTTTTGCCGCTACCTTCCTACACGAGTTTCACGCTTCTGTTACTATCTTATTGTGACAGTTTTTTATCGGCCTTTGCTTATATCTACTTTTCATCCACTTGATAATCCAATTTACAATGTGCTTAGCATGATTCTTCATGACTTGTATTGCTACCAAGAAATATTCTTAGCATATTCACTTTTTAAATGGTATTGTCATAGTAGAAATCTTGTTGTCTATTTTTATGGAGTATATGCAGACATTTTCATCGCTTCTGGTCACAGCCAAGGTGGCCAATCCTACATTGGTTTGGGTAGCCTTTGTGTGGTTTCTGACTAGTTTCAGTCCAACCTGCTGTGATAGTATTTCTAACCTGTTCTATACAATAAATGCAATACTGTTTTTGTTATATTGTGTTCCATTATTTTTTATGGTCCAAAATCACTTCCATTCGGCTATCACTTCTAGATTCAATCATCAAGGTAACACCGAAGGTGGGCGACTGACATTTGAAGACCTATTAGCCATTTAGTTGTGTCAATATTTTGCTAACCAAGTAACTGTTTTTATTCTGCCTTGTTTGCTTTCCCCATTTTATCCTAAATTCGTTTCTCTTTGAACCCTTCAGCCATTATTTACTCTAGAGAGTTTATACCCCAGCTTGTGTCTGCTAATAGACTTTCATGAGTATTGATATTGTTGAAACAGCACTCTTTAGTTGGTATTAGGTTATTTTGCTTCATAAACTTTGCCTTTGAGAAATTAGGTTTCATGTGTATATATATGTTGCTTTTTCTGCAAAAGCTTCTATAGTATCCGTGTTTTTTCTTGCACCCATTTATCTCGAATAGGGAAAGGGATGGGCTTCTGCAGGAGTAACCCAATAATTTCACCAATCAGTACGGTATGTAGGCATCACCATTACCCTTATAGAATATGATATGATCTTGGTTGATCCTATTTGGACTGATTTTGGTAAATGACGTGTATGCCTCTCAATCTAGTCTTTGTTTTCCGCTTTATATGTCTCTGCCTCTGTGTTCGTGTGTTCTTATGCTGTGTCCTTGTTTTATTTCCCTGTAAAAAAGTTACCTAAGCCTTTTATTTTAACGATTTGTTTTAGCAGAACCGTATGAGAAACTCAGCAATGGGCGGAGGGTATCCACAACAAGGTGGTTATCAAGCCCGCCCACCATCAAGCTGGGCACCACCTGGTGCTCCGCCAGCACAACCTGGTTATGGTGGTTACATGCAACCAGGAGCATATCCAGGTCCACCTCAGTATGGTCAATCACCTTACGGGAGTTACCCTCAGCAAACTTCAGGTGGTTACTCCTCCACCTGGGATCAATCCTCTGTGCCACCATCCCAGCAGAGTGCGCACGGTGAGTATGATTATTATGGTCAACAACAGTCACAGCAACCAAGCAGTGGTGGTAGCTCAGCCCCACCAACAGATACCACAGGGTACAATTACTACCAGCATGCTTCTGGTTATGGCCAAGCTGGTCAGGGATACCAGCAAGATGGGTATGGAGCTTACAATGCCTCTCAGCAATCAGGATATGGTCAAGCTGCTGGGTATGATCAACAGGGTGGTTACGGCAGCACCACTAATCCAAGTCAAGAGGAAGATACATCTCAAGCCGCTCCGCCATCGTCAGCTCAGTCTGGACAGGCTGGGTATGGTACAACTGGTCAACAGCCGCCTGCTCAAGGTAGTACTTCTCAGGCAGGGTATGGAGCTGCTCCAACTTCTCAGGCTGGTTACAGCAGCCAGCCACCAGCAGCTTACAGTTCTGGGTATGGAGCACCACCGCCGTCTTCAAAGCCACCGGCTTATGGACAGAGCCAGCAGTCTCCAGGTGCTCCCGGGAGCTATGGTAGTCAGTCTGGGTATGCACAACCTGCAGCGTCAGGGTATGGACAACCTCCAGCGTATGGGTATGGTCAAGCACCACAGGCATATGGGTCTTATGGAGGATACACACAACCTGCTGCTGGTGGAGGTTACTCTTCTGACGGGTCTGCTGGAGCTGCCACCGGTGGTGGTGGCGGTACACCGGCTTCACAGAGTGCTGCTCCACCTGCCGGACCACCCAAAGCATCCCCAAAAAGTTGATATGTTTATGGATAAATTTCAGCTGTTATATACAATACAGGCTTCCATGCTCTTTATCTTTTTCTTGAGGATTTCTTAATGTTTGTCTTTCACATTTTAGTTCTTTTAACGTTTTCTCTTTATATTAAAGATAATGGTTAATATTTATGTGTGGGTTACCGTGTCTTCTTCGTACATTGATTTCAAAATTTACCCAAAATTAAAAATTGGCTTTCCAACTGAAATTTATAGATGTGCCACAAGACAACCAAAAGAAAGGACTTCTCACTATGGAAAATTTGGAAGAATGTAGTAGATAAAACTTATAAGATGGATTAGGCTTAAACCAAATTTCATCATAATAAAAGTTCTGAAAGATCTCATGTGGGTTTAAGCATAGAGATGTTTCCACAAACAAGTCTCTCACTTTATTTCATACATATGTTTGTCAATATAGGTCTAAGCTTGTTAAGGAGAAAACATGAGTATGTGAGAAGGCTAAGGAGTGAAGTTAGGAGCAGATATTGTCTTCCTTCACTCAACTTGTGAAAACCCTCCACCAGTCTCAGCTTTTGTCCTACCAAACAAACAGAGTTTGTAACTGAAGGAATCTTCACATACGGAAGAAAAGAGTGATTTGGTTGAGATTCAGACTTACTTGTGATCTGAAGGATTTGGTCTAATCTCATATACGATTGTCGCAACAACATCCCTTTTCAACTGTTAAGACCGCCAAGGTTAAGAATTAACAAAGTACCATACCATATGATATATAGTTGCAGCATTTGTATGCAAACATACCTGGGTTGCTTCACCTTTGAACCCGATATAGCGTATTTGAGTTGTGTCACCTCCAAAGCTCTCAGGGAAATGCAATGTAATGTTTCCAACACTCTGGAATTTTGAATACCTAATCACATTCCGCACTCTCAATGTATCAGATATCTAACTTTTGATAGAAAATGCGCGATTCAAACAGACTTTTTAAGATTCATTACATAAAGTCTGCAGAGTCTATTACAATCCAGTAAACGTTATATGTGTAGCGAAATACCTGGTCTGGTATTCTAAGACTCCTTGCAAATTTTCAGCTAACTCCCATTCCTTCAAAGAAGTCACAAATATTTCTGAATTAGTTCATTTGTCTTTGGCATTTCAGTATGCAAAATACTCACAAGGGAATACCTGAACAGCTTGCATACTCTCAGCATCTGAGAAGTCAATACCTTCGCGATTGATAAACCTAGTTTTGAGACAACAATCAACTTTCTGTCTTTATTTCTTCCCCTAATGAAGGAACCATATGCAGAATTCACACATGCATACAGGAAAATTTTCGTAAGCTAGTTTAGACATACACTCTCAACTTAGAAGGACTTGTTCCTTCAGGGCCACCAACAATTGATATGCTCTTGATCTTGACGTCTGATGTGAATCTACAATAATGGACAGACATAAATGAGCAGCCATCCAAAAAGTATTAAACAATTTCATAGTAAGAAAAAATGGAATGTAACTAGTCCTCTCAAGCTTCTTTCAAGTCAATGATCTATCTCTATAAACTATATTGCTATATGCAAACCAATAATATTAGAAGAAATTTGAAGTCACAGGTCGGTAAATGATTTTACAAACGCCAAACGGTGTATTCAGCCAGAAATAGAAGGTCGTGTGAAAAAACAAAATGCCAGTTTCAAAGATGAACAACAAATAACTGACATACGGTACAAAAACAAGCAATTCAGGGTCTCCCTCATTGCTCTCCAAATGCTCCTGTACGCAAGAAAAAACAAAACACAAAAACCATTTCCTTTAGACATTATCATGCACAAAAACTCATTGCTATCAATAATTTCACTGCATATAAATCATAGTAATTGAGGAAGGATCATTCATCAGCCAAGCCTAAAATTGGTTGATGACTTATAAATAAACTAGGCTCTCTAATCCTAAAAGCTAATGACTTTTTTTTATGTGAGCTTCAGGAAGGCCCTGGTAGGGACTTAGTTCTTAAGCCATCATATAAGGGTTGCCTAGTGATTGACGTCGCAAGAACGGTAGTGGCGTATTAGCTTGTGGTGCCTTACTAGCCTACAAGCCAGATTTTGGTATAATCATGTCCTCTTCAACAATCTTTAAGGTTATCATCTCCATAAAACTAACAAGAAGCAAAAAAAAAAAAAAGTTATGGTGAGAATTTAAAGTACCCCAGAAGATTGTAATCTCTCTTCCCATGCTTTGAAGACTGATTTTGCACTTCCGGAAACAGATTCATTCAGAGCAGAAACCTGAGACCAAGTTATAAAATTTAGCACACTGATTCACACAGTAACCTAAATTCTTATAGATTAGGATCATACAATTTCTGAGGAATTTTCTATCCACGAATATCAATTAGAATCTAGATTTTTTGGATTCACTAACCTAATTACAAATTTTAGGTGATATTTGAAGATTTTAGTCGTTATTTGAGCAATAAAAGCGAAGAGGTAAGTGATTGTAGAAAAGAGAGAGAGAGACCTTGGAGAGATCAATGTGTTTGTAGAGAGACCAATCGGAAGAACACTCATGATCTTCGCAGTTGTGATCATGCGTACACGACATTTTACCAAATCGGATTTCTCTCGCGTCGGCTAAACACTAAAATCTGGATTTTTTGGCCACGAAATTTCGAGAAACAAAAAGAGCAGAAGAAAGTGGGCCGTCAAAAAGATTCCGACTATAAACGACGCCGTATTAGTTTGTAAAACGAAGCGTTTTGATTTGAAACAATGCCTAGAATGCCACTATATGGAAACAAAAAGGCTAGAAAGCCACCCAATTTTTTAGAATAATAAAAATAAAAGAATTTAAATCAAATAAAGACAAAAGGACCAAAAACCCTTACCCTAATTTGATAATTACGTATCCCCGCCACTCACTCCTCTTCTTCTTTCACGCTTCTTCTTTTTTCACTCCTCTTCTTCTTTCACGCTTCTTCTTCTTCTTCTTCTTTCATTTTTTCTAGATTTTTTTTTTGGATCTTTCACTTTATATCTCTTCTTCTCCATCATCATCATCATCAATGAAACTTTAGATCTATCTTCTCCATAGATCTCTCTTTGCGTTTCTTCATAGATTGAATCTTTCTTCATGTTTCTTCTCCATGGATTTCTTAGATTCACTAATCATGGATCTCTCTTCATGTTTCTTCTCCATGGATATCTCCCCGTGCTTTCGTCCTTTGAAGTGCGCAATCGTTTGGTGAGAAAAACGGTTCACAAACTTCGACAAAGAAGGTTGACGGCGGATAATCGGCGACGACGACGATGAAGAAAGCAAGAAGAGGCGAATTAGTAAGTGTGACGGCGCTAGGGTTTAGAATTACAATTGCTTCGTTTCAGTTGTACCTACTTATTTGTACCAGTTGTACCTAACTATTTGTACCATTGTACCTAACTATTTGTACCAGTTGTACCTATTTATATGTCAGTTATACCAATTGTATCAATTGTACTATTATCTTTTAGTAATACCATTTGTACCAGTTGTCCAATTATCTCACAGTTATACTATTTGTATCAGTTTTCATATTATCTCTTAATTGTACCAGTTGTACTATTATCTCTTAGTTGTACCAATCGTCTCTTATTTCATTAAGGGTAATTTGGGAATATCACATTTACAGTGGCATTCAGATCACAAAATGGCATGCCGGATTCATTTTCTCCAATTAGTGGCAAACCAGCCTCGGACTCTAGGCGGGAAGAAATCGGATTAAACGCAAAGTATTAACTTATTTCTTTAAGAGATTAGTCATTAATCGAGGCGGATAGGGTGGGTCTAGCGATTAAGCATGAGATAATCGAAGGTAGGGGGACTTTTAGAACAAAGGGTTCAGATTAATCATTTTTCAAATGGAATATTGATTTTGATTAGTACATTAACTTAGAAAAATCATTCTTCACATATCTTAAATTTAACATACATCGTTATAACATCTTTTGAACTTTGTTGGATATAGGTTGCGCTCTCTATTTAAACATGACGCAAATTGGAGATTAACCTAATTGGTCTCATCTACAAAACGAAGGAGCTCGGCCCATCTCACTACTAATTCGGACCATCGCTCAGTTCAACCCTATAACTTGTCGTGGACTTGGTAGAGGCAAAAGAGGGAAAAGGAGACCCTAAATCGTCAGACTTCTCTTATAAATAGGGGAAGACAACACAAAGAAAGGATCCTGCAATCCACTTGTGTAGCGAATCACTTTAAAATTTGATTTCGCCAAAACCTAAATTCCCAATACAAGACATAACTCAAAAAAATTCTTTACAGCTCTTCACTATATTCAATTTACCACATACAAAAATCGTGTCTACAAGACTCATTCCGGCAAAAGAAAATGTTAAATTCAAAACAAATTTAACATTGAAATGATAATGTACTTGACAAGCAGGTACATTACCAGTCTCTATTGTGGAAATCAAAATTTAGAGTTTATAAGTTTCGAAACTAACTCACTTTCCAGCTAATAAAACAAAGATACACATAATTATAACGATTCAGGGAAAAGGATCATTGAGTGAACGAATTAAGTCTGATTGCTTTACAGTGACATTTACGTTACACTACACAAAAAAAAAGCAAAACATATGCATGATTAATGCCCAAAAGCCCAAACTAATGCCTTTTTACTTTACCTTTTTCAGTTTTCACAATGAAACCAAACAACATTCATTTTTCTTCTTTAAAAGATGAAGGATCTTATGTTTGCCCAACCGTGAATTGCGTAGCAATCAATCATAATTCATAGTTTAAAGATTAAGTGAATTTGCCAGATGTTAAGGACGAAAATTTATTTAGGTAAATGACAACTAGTGTTTAAGTTTTTTATTTTATTATAATCAAGCAAAAAGATAATGATATAAAAATATAACGTGTTATTTTTTCAAAAATATTTTTGTTTAAATTAAGATAATTTCATTCAAGTTGAGCACATCGAAACACTTTTTTCATATATTCGATGTTATTTAATCAATTTCCGATTTGAAAGTCATAAAATCCTCATATCCCCTCTTTTATCCTTTTATGTTTTATCCACGTGTTTGTCTTTTTTTCCGGAAAATTTATCCAATAATTATACTCACATAACACAAAAATTTACCAAAAAAAAAAAATTATATCATAAACTATTGAAACTTTTTAAGACAAAAATATACATATCATAAGTTTTTGAAAAAACCTTTTTTTTTTCTTTTTGCATTGATATATAGATTTTGATTGGTAACATTGTACCACTGTCATACAACGTATAACATATAATATGTAGACATTTTATATAAAAAAAATCATCTTATATCTTTAATAAAACCAATAAATTTTTTTAACTAAAACAGAATATCTATAATAATAAAAAAAAACTATATTTTACTTGCGTGTATAGATAAAACAAGTAATGGGCCAGACGTTAGGTTGGCATCAGAAAGATTCATTGAATAGTAATTTTATAAATAGCAGGCCCCGCCTCCTCTTCTTTCCGAAGATTCTTATCCACGTCACCTTCTTCGCCGGAGAATATCACCTAACAATGACCACCGTCGCCGTCACGTTTCTCGCCCTCTTCCTCTATCTAGTCGCCGCTGTTTCTGGTGACGTCATCAAACTTCCTTCTCAAGCTTCCAAGTTCTTCCACCCAACTGAAAACGACGATGATTCTACTAGGTGGGCTGTTCTCGTCGCCGGATCTAGCGGATACTGGAATTATCGACATCAGGTATCGACTCTTGATCATATCGAAAATCTGGAATTAAGAAATTGCGGTGCGGTTTTCGGATTTTGCGAATTTGCAGCTGATCATTGCAACAAGTTCTTGTTATAGTCCAATCTTAGTTTTCATCGATTTTGTGTTTTTTTGAAAAATGAAGTTTTTGTGAGCCAAAGTTAGAGTGTGGGTGATAACATCGTATTTTAACCTGTTTTTACTATTATTTCAATAGTTTGGTAGAGACTAATGAGTTTGTATAAATTGTTTAGGCGGATGTTTGTCATGCTTATCAGCTTTTGAAGAAAGGTGGAGTGAAAGAGGAGAATATTGTAGTGTTCATGTATGATGACATTGCGAAGAACGAAGAGAATCCAAGACCTGGAGTTATTATCAATAGTCCTAATGGAGAGGATGTCTATAATGGAGTTCCCAAGGTTTTTTTTTCCGCTTTGTTTCGATATTGAGCTGCGGTTATGTACCATTGAAATGGCTTTGTGATTTGATTTGTTGGGATTTGGTTGTGGCAGGATTACACTGGAGATGATGTTAATGTTGATAACTTATTAGCTGTGATCCTTGGAAATAAAACAGCTGTTAAAGGAGGAAGTGGGAAAGTTGTAGATAGCGGTCCAAACGATCATATCTTTATATACTATAGTGATCACGGTGGCCCGGGAGTGCTCGGTGAGTTCTCCTATCTTGTTGAAGTTATTATTTTTTATATTTTTGATAAAAAGTTTGATGATTTGAGTCTCTATGTTTATTTTCAGGAATGCCAACTTCTCCATATCTATATGCAAACGATCTCAATGATGTCCTGAAGAAAAAACATGCTTCAGGAACATATAAGAGCTTGGTAACACTGACAAGATTCTTCTGAAAATGCTTTCTTGTCAGCTACATGTGATTTGGCTTGACCATTTTTCGTGAATGCAGGTGTTTTATTTAGAGGCTTGTGAATCTGGAAGTATTTTTGAAGGCCTTTTACCAGAGGGTTTAAACATTTACGCGACAACTGCATCGAATGCAGTAGAAAGTAGCTGGGGTACTTATTGTCCTGGAGAGGATCCTAGTCCTCCTTCCGAGTATGAGACCTGTTTGGGTGACTTATACAGTGTTGCTTGGATGGAAGATAGGTATGCTGAAGAACTATTATTAATATGACAATAAGAGTATGCGTTTTCTGGTCGAGTATCCTAATTCTTTCGCTATTCTTTGTTTTTGCAATGCACACAGTGATATACATAATTTACAGACAGAGACTTTGCACCAGCAATATGAACTGGTAAGCTTCAAGTTTTGCTCTGTAACTTTTTCGGGTGAGAACTGTTCGTTCATTGAGATTGCGGTAAGCATGCATCAAAAGATATATTATTGTTTCAGGTGAAAAAGAGGACTGCAGGTTCTGGTAAGTCATTTGGTTCTCATGTCATGGAATTTGGAGATATAGGACTCAGCAAGGAGAAGCTTGTTCTTTATATGGGTACAAACCCAGCCAATGAAAACTTCACCTTTGTGAATGAAAATTCACTAAGGCCGCCTTCAAGAGTTACAAATCAGCGTGACGCGGATCTTGTCCATTTCTGGGATAAGGTTTATCTTACTCTCCTTGCTTCCTGGTGAAATCTAAAGACTCCTGTAATATTTGATATTGCCTCTGTTACATAATCTGTCAAGTTATTGTTCCATGTAGTATCGAAAGGCACCAGAAGGTTCTGCAAGAAAAGTTGAAGCTCAGAAGCAAGTCCTTGAAGCAATGTCTCACAGACTTCATGTCGATAATAGCATTCTATTAATTGGGAAACTCTTGTTTGGTTTGGACAGTCCTGCGGTACTAAATAATGTCCGGCCTTCTGGAACACCGCTTGTTGACGATTGGGACTGCCTTAAATCGCTGGTAACCTTTTGCCTCTTTTTGAAACTTGGCTATTTAAAATTGTTGCATCAAGGTTTGGATCAACTCTATATGGTTAGTATTAAACAATGGTTTTAGATGGTCAAAGAATCA